CCCTAAAAAATTAAAACCTAGAAAATCAATTGGCACCTTTTTTTAAGTCACACGGTTCATTAATTGGTTTAGAAACTGAACCAGACATTGATCCATCGGAACTCACAGGGAGTAAGTTCACCATTGTAGTCAGATAGGAATAAAATAACAAACATAAGAAATCACTCCATACCACGTAGTTGAAACTTGAGATGGTCACTGAACATTTCTCCGAAAGTAAAGGTGCAGAATCGATCTCACACAACTGGAGGTTCTCCTTGTCCATGGTATGGCTAGTGGGTTGAATCAACCTTTATTTACAGTTATGGGTGATGGGTGGCTGGATGATTGCCACCCTACTCCCTAGCTACCAACTTTCATAAAGAAACTATGGCCCTGTTTTTCTCTCAGTCTGGAACCGGAATCAAAATAAGTTATTCCGATTTTAACTGTTTGGTCAGGCGGATTTGGAATCCCATTCCCATTCCTGATGGAATAACATTCCCCATTTGAGGGAATGGACATTCCCTCCCCCTCCTTTGAGAATGAAATCTCATTCTTTCTTATTCCAATTTTCAATCTCATTTCTGTCTGAACCAAACAGATTATGAGAATAGGCCATTTCGATTACGATTCTGATTCTAAAGGATTTCAATTTCGATTCCCACTACGAACCAAATAGACCTAAGAAGAACATTGATAATGGTAAGGTTTACTCTGCCATCTTACTACATATTAATTCACATATAAAAAGTGTTCTGTCTTCCCTGTTCATGGTCCCCCAATATATACATATCCCATTATCAGACTTGATTCATTCCATTCAAATCCCCTATCCACACCTACACATGCTTTACTACTGTTGTACATTAAAAATATATCAGGTATTTGCCTATTATCATTCATAGGGAAATGTTTTCAATGTACACATGTAGAGGGTGTTCTTTTTCTGGATTTTGAGAGAGGTGAAAGTTGGATTTCCATTGACCAAGAATCCCACGTTCTGTTTTGAGATTTATGTGGAGACCAAGAAAAATTTATTTTCTTGAGTATCGCTTACTCGACTCATCTCCTAGGTGGGCAAATAACTTTCCCACCTCGGAGGAAAATTGCCAATACTTGAATGTGACAAAAATACCCCTTTTAATAATAGATTTTAAAGGCTAAAATGATCATTGCCTTATTTACATGGGAAATAAAAGAACACAAATAAATGTACTTACTCAAAAAACGTGTCATTAGGTAAATATGCTAAGAGTTCTTGTAGATAGGAAATCTAATCTGAAACTAAACAAGGTACCAACCAGCTGATTGATAAAGTCTCCCGCTCATTATAACAGAGACTTGGATTGAATCCCACCTGCCCCTTGGTTGAGGATGGGCTAATCCCGTTGTCTAGCCTTTAGACGATATCAAAATATTATATATATAATATTCTGAAACCAAAGGATGATGATGGCTTCAGTTCAATCCAATCAATTCGTAATTCAGTCAGGAATGGATACGGGCCGTGCATCCGGCATGCCCGGGTCTATCAGGTTTACAACCCATATGCTTTACTTGGAAAGAAGTGCAGATGGAAGACAACGGGGGGCCATGAGAGCGACGTGTGAATTTGTAGTAGCCCACAAGAACAACTGAACAAGCAACCAAAACCAAACTGGTCTTCTCTCTTTTCATTTGGTTCAACTTCAGTCCCTAACATTATTAATAAGATTAAGAAAGCCAATGCCAATATCTCAACGACCAAATACAATTACAGATGGAGCTGGGGAGGGAACTAAATACAGAATTTCTACTTTACTGGAAGTGGACGGCTCGACTTCATTAAATTACTGAAATGTATCAGGGCGTATAGACTGATACATATCATATTGACGACCCCCTTATATATTTCTATAATGGGTGTTTCAGGGTCTAACCTAGTTCACGGGATAGACACGCCTTAACTCAACCCCTAAATTAATTTGAAAAATTAAAAAAATAAAATAAAAGTGCAACTCAATACAAGCTGATATGCCCTTGATTCTACTTATAATTTATCATCTTCAAATCAATCGACCCATTCTCTCCTCAAATCCCACAGAAACGTACATACAGACACATACACAAATAAAAAGTTGAAAAAAAAAAAAAGGAAAAGGAACCTAAAAGCCAATCACTTGAAGATATTTTCTATACCTCCATCTCTCTGCTGGCATATATCCCTTTTGAAAACAAAGGGCCTCTTCACCCTTTATAAGTTATAACGTGGTCCCTTCCATTCACATGGGCTACGGTCAGAACACATAACATGGGTAATATGTTCATATATCCCACCTTTTATTTTATTTTATTTTATGGCAAACATTCTTTACCTGTCTTGCCTTTTTCTTTTTCTTCTTTCCCATCAAACACCACTAAGCTGCCAAGAGCAAAGGCTCCTCAAAATTCCTTTATGGGCCTTCTCCAAGTGGATTATACAGTAGGGACTCCATCACTATTATCATTATTATTATCATCATCATCATCATCATCATCATCATAATAATAATAATATAATAATAATAATATAATAATAATAATAATAATAATAATAATAATAATAATAATACAAAATTTATGATAGAATTGCTTAATTTAGAACTTGAGGTAGCCCTGGATTTTTCTCTTCACCTTATTCTCATGGAACAAGGGCGTGTGATAAGGGCTGAAGTTGTTGGATTAATTTACTTATTACTTTGCATTTTAGTGGATAAAATAATTAAAATAATAAAACATTCAAAAATATAGTAAAATAATCAACCCAACTTAGGCTTCAGCCATTATGCAGTTCATCACCTCTTTAAAAAATTTATTCACTATGAAATAGTTCAGCCACTTCAACTGTTATCAAAGCTATAATGCAAAGAAGGGTACAAAGTATTGAACATATAGTGGCTGATCCAAAGTGCTCCTTGTATGATCTGATGAACGATTCGGATTTTCTATGGGATGCCTCCTCCACATGGCAAGAATAGATGAGGTTGTGTAGAGAAACTCTTTATACTTAATTTAACCCCATTAATTAAGAATCTATTTTAGAAATAAATAAATAAGTAATGAGAAAATATAGATGTTGATGTATATATTCTTTCCATCCGTTCCCTTTGCTGTCAAGCACATGAACAACTCCAAAAGTTAGGTTGTTTAGGGAAATCAGCCCAGCCAGCCTGGGCTGTTTTGAAGCTTCATGTGCACACTTTAGCTTCTTAGATTTTTTTATTTGTCTTTTTATTTTAAAAAATATTGACTGTAATTACTCTTTTATCCCACATCTATGCTACCGTGTCATGCACATAAAGCTTCAAAACAATGAAGGTTGTTTTCAGATTCACAATTGGTCAAGGGAGAAAGGGACACTATAATTAATTAACCAATACTATCTATAGTGGCATAGAGAAAAGCATAATTAAATAATTAAAAAAGAAAAAAAAAAGAAGATAAGAATAAGAGGGTTTTCCATGAAAAAGAAAATGCTGCTATCCTGTTATTTTATTATTTGTTAATGACATTCTTATTAACTACCAAAATATCACTGTAATTTATGAAAACATGATATAATTGCCAGCGTACCCTTTTCACATTTTATATTTGCAAGAGATAACTCACTTGACACTTGTTCGGATTGACCTACAAACTAGCATACTTTTCTTTGAAAATAAAGTCTGTCTTCTACATTGTTAAACAATACATCAAAATTCAAAACCCTTATTGTACTTTTCATTGATTATAATCTGCACTAGCTCCGAGCCTTCAACCAGACTAATTATTCTCCAAGAACTTACTATAATTTGTTTGGTAAGCCAATACTTGATATAATATAATTAGCTCCACATGATTGCCAGATTAGAGCTTATATCGCAAAGCATAGTAATTAATTACTTGGTGGCATGGTTGTAATAGTGCTGAAAAGCATACAGGTTAATGTATGCTTTTTTATTTTTTTTCTTTAGGGTCAGTTTGGAATACAAATATGTAGAGTTTAAAACCTTTTAATTTGTATTGTTTTGTATGCATTTGTATCGTACTTATTTGTATTTCTTCCAAATTGAGCTTTTAGTATTAATCACTGCTAATACTTGGGGGTATAAATGGTTTTTGAATATTCAATTTTTAATTCGATATTCGATATAATTAAATCGAATTCGGATAATTTAAATATTTAATTGATCAAATTTAGATATGACCTGATTTGATTCAATAAATATTTGAATTTGACCGATTATTTAATTTTTATATAAAAATTAAGTTATATAAATAATTTATATATTTATATACTTTATATCAATAAAATATTTATTAATTATCTAAATAATTAATTAATCGAATTCGAATTAAATCAAATATTCAAATATTTAATCAAATTTGAATTCTGATGTTAATTTTCAGTCTCCGTTGGACATCAAATCGAATTCGGATATCGAATTTAAGATCAGATATTACCTCCGTTTAAGGTCACAGTACAATATTACATCAACAGCTCTTTTTTTATAATAGAGGGTTTTAAAACTATAATTCATCCAATGCACCACCTGGATTACCTCTTAATGTATGCTGAATACCTTTCTAAAACTAATTTTCAACTTTGTAATTACAAAATAAAAAACAGTTACAATATTATGATTACAATTAGGATTATTGAGAAATTTAATTCTCTTTTAAGGAATTTTAGAAGTAAGCTTCTTTTTTTTTTTTTTTTTGAAGCCTGGTTGTAATGCTTTTATTTTTTTATTTATCATGAAATAGAGGGAAAGAGAAAGGGTAGCCATGGAAGCCACGTGTTGGCAAGGGGCTAGGGCCAAGCAAGAGGTACATTGCTTGGCCGAAAGGGACACAAAAGGGGTCCTCCTGGCAGCTCAAAAAGAAGACATTCAACTAGATACCTGATACCTCAGTCGCTTCCTGGAAAAATCCAGTGTTTCTGCTCACAAAGTAAGATGATACTCTTATTATATATATATATCTCATTATATAATCATGCACTTGCAAGAATTATTTATTTATTTTTTGGGAGTCGTGAGTTGTTAAAATTAATGGGTTTCCAATCATACCAGCTCATGTGACCACCTGTGCCGTTGTTCGTCCACTTCCTTTTTCTTTTTTTCTTTTCTCTCCTAATTTTTATCTCTTTGGGTTCTTGAACCAGTTTTGGGTTGTTATCAATATCCAACTATACTTTAGTTCCTCTCTGTTTCTTTCCCTTCCTCTTCTCTCCCTCCTTTTCCCTTGAATCACAAACAACTTAGAGGAGTTGCTCTAATCTTGAATCCATGGCTAGCGAGACTGTTGTATCAGATCATTGTACTGATGAGGTAAGCGACTCTCTGTTTTCTATTTCGGGTTTCAACTAGAAGAACCGATTACGGTTTTAATACTGATGTATTAAGACAGGAAGGTTTCGACATGCTTGAAGCTGATAAGACTCTGAAAGCTTCAAATTTCATGCCTTTTGCTGTACTGTCACTATTGATTATTTCGGGAAAGACCAACTTAAGATTTGGTGATAGACTTTACTTTGCGAGTTCTTCATAAGTTCAACCCCGGTGGGATTTCCATATTTTGGTGTCCCTAAGGGAATACCTTGTTTTGATTTTAGGGAGGAGAATTCAGGAAGTTAGTCCTATAGAACTGAGAAAGATTCAACCTTTAATTTTGTAGTTAACACCTCCAAATAAAAGGATTTTAACCCAGCTCAGTACTTATTTGATTTAAAGTTTGGCTTATAAAGATCTAGGCTTAGTAGCAGCGAGAAGATTCATATAAGCTTCATGGAAGTTCGATCATAATAACACCACGAATGATTTAATCTATTTGTTTTTCTTCGTAAAGGATACCGACTTTCATCCTTGAGTTACAGATGATGTTATATGGAAAAACATGGCTGCACCACACCTTTTTCTTTTACAAAGAAGAAAGAGGGGAGATAGGTAACACCGACTTGTGAACAAGTGCAGGAGCAACATCTATTCCAGTCTTGGTTGTTAAAGCAAAATTCAGAATTTTTTTTCCTTTTCATTTTTCTTCAGGCTCAGTTTGGAAGGAGTACAAATACAAATATGCATTGTATTTGCACTATACATATTTGTATTTGCACTCTTCCCAAACTGAGCCTCAGGAAAAAATATGGCAAAGTAGGATCCTTTGTTTTCTCTTTTATAAGGCCCAAGTAAGGTTTGCTTTCTGCTTAGTGTGATGATTTAGTTCCTGTGTTCAGGAGAACATTTCACCAGTTATTAACTTATTCTGATCAAACTAGTAAATGCAGAAACTCCACTCTTGTCCTTTTAAACTTGTAGGAAAGGTTCTTCAAGTTCATTAACTTCAAATTCAAAACCTGGAAAGATTCAAAATATTATCAATTTAATATTGTCTACTGATTACTCAATAAGTTGCTTATCTGGTTTTATTTTTCCATTATTACCTTGATTAGCTTTTGTATCTTCAATACTTTCTTTATCCTTGATCATGAGGAATTTATAAACTATAGTTTTGACTTGGAGAGGCAGAAGAAGAATATTTGACACAATTTATTGTTGCAAATATAACTCCCCCTAGACTTGCTATACTGTTTGCATACTCTGCTTTTTGTCTTTCTATTTTCCCCATAAATTGGCTTGATGAGGAAAGATAGAACTCATATTTACCTAATCTCTTTGAAATACTGCAGAGAATTGAAAAGAAAGTAAATGAAGCTGCAGGAACTGTTGAAGAGGGTGTTTCTCCACCAAAGGAAAATGAAATAACAAATAAAGAAGAAAAACTGAAAGTTGCAGAATTGATAACTCCTGAGTCTCCTTTAACTGAATCAGAAGAAAAGATGGAAAATAAACCTATTGAGCCTTCTGTAGCTGTAGAGGTTCAAAAGGTAGAAAGGGTTGTGGAAGCACCTGGCTCGGATGTTCCAGTTGAAGACATTTCCAAAGTTGTGTCAAGTCCTGATTTGAAACAGGATGTATCCTCCACTCTGGAACCTGCAGTCGATGCTGGAAAGGAATCTGAAGATTCATCAAATATACCTGATTTTCCGGTTGAAGACAGTTCTAAATTGATAGCAAGCCCTGATTTGAAACCAGATACATCCTCCACTCCAGAACCTGCAGTTCAGGTTGTTGAGGAAAAATCAGAGACATATTCAGTTGTGAGAAATAAACCATCAACTGAAGCAGACAAACCACATGAGCAATTGGAAGTGTCTGCAATCATAGAACCACAACTCGATATAGGAAAGGAGCCAGAAAATGTCACAGTACTAAACCCTAAAATAACAGAGAAGCCAGTATCGATTCCTGAGGTGGAGGAAAAACCACAAGAGCCATTATCAATTGAAGCAGTAGATAAACCAGTTGAGCAGTTGGAAGCGCGTATGGTAAATGAATCGGAAGCAGAAGTGGAGAAAGAGCCAGATGAAGTTTCTGTTTTGGAATCTAAACTAGTAGAAGAAGCACAATTAGTTCGTGATGTAGAAGTGACCGACGTTATCAATGATGATGAGAAAGAACCTGAGACACTCAAGCACGAGCAAAGTGTGGACAGTGAAATAACAAAGGATGTGGAAACCTTGGCTGATAAGGTTGATAAGGTTAAGGAAGGAACAGAGTTCCTGAAGTCAGAACCAACCACTAAAGACCAGGAGCCTATTGTATCTGAATCTCCAGGTGAAGTTATTTCTATTTGTCAGGAAGAAGAAGCCAATTCAAAGGAAGATGAAGGGGGATCTGTTCTTCCTGATGCTGTAGGAAATGTCAATGTGGAGGACAGAAATAAAGAAGGTGGCATTGATGCAATTGAAGGGTTGTCAAAAGAGGCAATTGTTGAGGTGAAAAAGCTTGAAGAAGAAAAAGAAGAAGAGAATGTAAAAGTTGAAGGGAATGAAGAGAAGAATTTGAAAATAGAGGAAGCACCTCTACTTGAGCCAACAAAATCCAAGGATGCTTGTAGTTCTGATTCTTCTCCACAAGTTTCTGAAAAATCTTTTCAGGGAGAGAAGACTCCTTTAAATGTTGAAGTGGTCACTGATGATAAAAAAGCAGAGGATAGCAAGGATGACTCACTAGTCTTGGAGGGAGTTGGTGTCATTGCTGCTAGTACTGTTAGCGATCCTGTTGGTGAACCCAAGGAGTTGGAATCACAAAAAAGAATAGAGGAGGCTGCACAATCTATTGAAGAGAAGATGGAGAAAACAGCAGAAGTGATTGAGGACATGTCAAAATCTGATGATCCAAAATCTGAGTTGTCCAAAAATGGCAATGACCCAAAGGCAGATGCAGACCCTCCTAAACCAGAAAAGGTCACTGTTAGTGATCCTGTTGGTGAATCCAAGGATTTGGAATCACAAACAAGTGTAGAGGCGACTGCACAATCTGCTGAAGAGAAGATGGAAAAAACAGCCGAAGTGATCGAGGACATTTCAAAATCTGATGCTCCAAAATCTGAGTTGTCCAAAAGTGGCAATGACCCAAAAGCAGATGCAGACCCTCCTAAACCAGAAATTCAAATCAAATCCACTCCAAAGCAATCGAATAACATTATATCAAAGGTGAAACACTCATTTGTGAAGGTGAAGAAAGCAATCATTGGGAAATCCCCAAGTTCAAAAACCATTTCTTCTGAAGTTAAGGGTGATGTGCAAGTAAAATAATGGGACTGGAACATAGAGAACATTGTTTTTGGTTGAATTTTTGAAATATGGTTTGCGTTGGTAATTGTTGTGTCATTGATGCTGTAAATGTTGTCTGGTTGTATTGCTGTATCTGCTATTGGTTGCCTGTGGGACAGCAAATGAGTGTATATAGAAGGTATGGGTTATGCACCTCTCTCTATTATCTGTGAGGATTCAAAATGTTTTCTGTTCCTATTTATTTTAGTTGTTAGTATTGCTTGTGCTGGTTGGTGCTTTGTACTTGACTGTACATGTAGCTTTGTGTGACATCAGATATTTATAGGTGATATTACTCTTCAGGTACATTTTGTTGCAGTAACTTTTATGTTTTAGTTCTTTCATGGGGAAGATTTTAAATCCTGACCATGTGCATCATGTGTACTACTGTACTATATTGCTAGAGTTCATTTGTGGTGTATTAGATGGATATCTTTGATCTTCCCCTTCGTAGTATTGGTTATTGGTTACATTAAAGTTTAAACTGGTTTCCTTACTTAGAATCTTGGTATCTGCATTTGTTCTTTGATGCTCAATATGGTGGAGAAAGTTTGTTTAGAATATTTGAACATAAGGCAAATCCTAAGGAGGTGGTAATTAAGACTACAGTATAATTAATCAAAAGCAGGATTTCCACTGTCAATTGTTTCAGAGGAGAGGATTTTTCATCATCTTATGCAAGTGAAAACCTAGTGATACTTTATGGAAAAAAAAATCAAGGTTAATAAATTAAAAGGGAACAGATCAGTTCATTAAGTAACTTCCCTTTCTGCTTCTCTTATTTTTCTATCGAGCCAGACTCAGCCGTAAGGTTCAAGCTTGAGAATTCAATCCAATTCACGCATTTCCTTATGGTTTCATCTTCTTTCAGCCACAAATTTGGTATGGAAAACAACCAGGATATCCATTTGCTTAATCTAACAATATGAGTAACTAACTGCCTGTTGAGTCTATTCTGCTACAGATTGAGCTGGAAATTGTTGAAGAAGATATCCATTACTTTGTCAGGACCCTCTACATAGCAATTAAATAAGCCCTATTAAAAGAGTCCATGACAAAAACCACAATGGCCAAATGCCTCCTAACAATGAGATTGATGATAGGACTTTGTGAATCTCTAGTAAAATGATTTTCTATCTCCAAATGAATATGGTAATAATAAATGAAAGTGCCTATGTGATTGAACTAGTTTTTTGCCTTATAGCTCACATTGATCAATTCGAATGTATGCATATACACGGATATACTTGTTCAAATGTCAAATTTTCCTCCAATTTGAAGTTTTAACTTCTCCGTATTTGATGCCAATAACACTGAACTTATTCTAAGAATGCATTTGGATTTTTTTTTATTGAAATAATATATATGGAAAGTCAAATATGTATTCTCAAAGAACCATTCAACTTAAAAGCTTAAGCTGTTAGGTGAGATCTTTGAATAGATTGATATTTTTTAACACACCCTCCTCACATGAGGGCCCATTAGGTTTGAAGTGAGAATAACCACAGGCCCATCCAAACCTAGTGTTGAAACTTGATTAATTATAATGGGGGTAATGAGGATCAAATATTAGACTATTTGGTCAAAGTGGCTCTGGTACATCTCAAATAACCATTCAACCTAAAAGCTTAAACTGTTAAGTGAGATCTTTGAATAGGTTGATATTCTCTAATATGTATAAATTGGAACATTTGTGAATTAGAACTCTCATGAATCAAAAGTTTATTGTTTGAGAAACACCTGAATTGAGTCACTTGGTCAAAAATAGTTCAAACGGTCTATGAAATAACTATAACTAAATAATTGATTATCGTAGTATTTTAATAAATATAAATATTGTAAAAAATGTTTAATTTTAAAATGTACAATTGCTACCATTACTAGTAGTAATAGTATAAATTGGATTGAAAAATGACCATATTTATTATATATTTATATACATGCAAAATAAATCATTTTTATCAAGTAATGATTTAAAAAAATATTTTATATAGTTCTTTGTTTTTGTTGTTGTTGTGTCAAAGTCCAAATAATCTCTTATGACATGTATGTTTTCCTCTTTTAGGTTGAAAATTAAAATAGGCTCGCCAGATCTCAACATCTAGGATTTTAGGAGGGGAAATTGAATATAGACATAACATTTGACATTTTTTCACAAAGCTAAAGGGAGGAGATATCCATCGTATGGACGCCCGAATCTTGCAGAATAGAATGGGCGAATTTCAAAAACTTCTCTCCATCCTACTGGGAATCGAATTCTCAGTTTTAGAAAAATCATATTTTTTAAGGATCAATCTTGAACCAAGAACCGAACTAGATCTGACAAAAATAGTAGGAGAGGGATATACCTGATACGAAGAAATAGTATCTCTCAATGGAGGTGTTCACGCCCAAGGAAAGAACCAAAAATTGCTCCCACTGAAGATGGCGTAGTGCAGGATGGAGCAGAATCAACAGCGTTCTTCACAAGAACCAGATCATTCGCAAGAATCAGCTGGATGGCACGTGAGCACTACTTCCAATCAGTCCTTCCACAAAGAACTGATATTAAGATTTGATTTTGATCACTCCCACTGAGAACAGGAGATCAAACTGGCAGATATGGCGGCGACAGGAAGGAGGCGGCAAGAGAGATTTAGCGCAGTAATGCTGAATTCTCTCTTCTATGATTTCAGCTCTGAAGACAGGATGTGAAGTGTGTCAAAAGGCTGTCACCCCCTCCTTCTTTTATAACCTTAAAGGGATCAGCTCCTAATCCCATTAGGAGTTGCTGATCCAAATCATATTTGGATCAGAATTCCCTTTAAGTGATAAGGGTAAACCCTTATCTTATCT